TTCCTTTCCTTTCCTTTCCTTTCCTTTCCTTTCCTTTCCTTTCCTTTCCTTTCCTTTCCTTTCCTTCCTTCCTTCCTTCCCTCCTTCCTTCCTTCCTTCCTTCCCTCCCTCCCTCCCTCCCACCCTCCCTTGATTTAGATACTATCCATTCTCTTTACAGAGGGACTGTGGGTTGTATACATATAGAAATAAATAATACAAATAATACTTCTTATTTTTCTCCAGTAGAGGAAGTTGACTTTTCTTACTTTTCCTTTGTCTTATGAATAGAATGAGTAACATTTATATACAGAATATCTCTATATAAAGGCACAGTTGCATTAATCTGTTCCAACAAAATTGCAGTTTTCTGGCAAATTAAAACTGACTACATTTTGCTTTGTTTTCTTTTTTTTAAAAAAAAATGTATGGCCAATTCAATGTGGTTTTAAATTTCACTTGCTCAACAAGAATACAGCAAGCACCATATGTTTACTGAAATTAATGGAGAAAAGAAAACTCTCCCTTTACTATATGTGCACACTGTTATTGTTTTTGTAGAAGACAAGAAACCCCCTTCCCTATGACAAGCTGCTTCTAATCTGTTGGAGACGGATTTTATGATTAATGTAGACTCCTCAGAAGAATTTATGCTACAAAAGACCTGTATAATCAGTGTTTTCGCCAGAATTATATGACTTAAAAAAGCAAATTTGCTCCCTCCAATAACAGAACCTCATAAAAGCAAAATCTCATATAGAAATCAGGCTATGTACTTCAGTACTTCAGAAGTACACTTTTCAAAATAATGTGTGGTTTATTTTCTTTTTTAAAAAAGAAACATTTAAAGGCCTTGTGATTATTTACAAATAAAAAATTTAAAAACTAAAACGCCTATAGCCTCTTGAAAATATTTATTTGATTTTTCACTCTAGTATGAAACCACCGAACCTGACCTACATAAGTACATCCACTTATTAATGGTCCATTTGTGCCCTACCACCAGTCAACTTCTCTAGCCTTTTTTGTTTTCTCAACTGTATATTCCACTGTTCTACACTAGGCAAGATTTCAGACCTAATATATTACCTATAATGACAAACTATATTATATAATTTATATAGATATATCATAGAGTATACAACATACTATTTGAACGTGACCTCTTTTATTGGAAAGAATGCAATACATGTTTGCTTCATAGCCTGATAAAGATATAAAATGCTATGTAGATAGCTATAGAGATAACCTCCTTTGTTATTACTGCATCCTCCCTGGAACACTGGAGAGTTGTTAGAAAGAAATAACTAAAAAAAATTCTCTGCCATAATAAATGGGGATAACTTGATTTAGAATGGGAAATGTCCAGTTGTTGAAATTTTTGTTACCAAGTCTTTTTACTTCATAAGAATATTGTTTTAAAAAACTGATTTAAAGCAGCTGCCAAAGACCCTGAAATATTTATTTATTTATTTATTAAACTATTATGCTGCCCATTTCACTGCAATATAGAGTTTATATTTGCTTTTCTGAAATAATATAATGTTCTATTCATGTTACAGTTTTCAACAAGTTTCAAGATGTTTCTTGATAACTGGAATATACAGACAGCACTTTGGCTCAAAAGGTATATTGATTGATTGATTGATGTACATCCCATTGTAATCAGAATTATTCTCAGAAGGTTATATATTATTCTCTTGTTGATCATTTAGTATTACAAAGCTGTCCCAAAGATTTTGAGATTATCATGTTGCTAATAATAAAGGCTTAGCCTGAATCTATTCTGTTTGCTTATCCATTGTCCTTTTCCTTTGCTTCAGGAAGACTAATTTCAGAGGCTGTTATATGGTTATAAATCAGAGTTGAAATCTCTCAGAATCTAACTCCCCTTGGGTGCCAGTTCCCTAATGACATAGTTGCTATAATGGGTGTAACAGTCTACCATTTTCAAGAAGCATATTTTTCCAGATTCCTTGGCTTTGAAAGTTCTGCATTGGAATAATCGTCTTAGACCCTAAATGTAGTAGAAATATTTTATTTTCCTTCCAGCATTCTGCAGTTTTTTGTACTCAAGAATCTATTAGTGGTTAAGGAACCTTCCTAACAATGTTGGGTAGATACATGAGTTTGATTGGGACAAGTCTCCTCCCAGCAGTCTCAGCATCTCATTCTATCTTGATCATCAAACCGTTTGAGTTTCTAGGGTGGCATTTTGGGAGTGCACAAGAGACAAACGGGGATAAATTCTGAATTTTGCTTACCTTATCATCTAGGACATTGTTTAGTCATGGTGATACAGTTTACTGCCGATCATTATTCTCTTAGTATTATAGCTACATACGACTATAATTATGGGCTTTAACTAGGCAAAACAGTGCATTACAGGACACCAATTTCTGAACCAAGGGTGAATCTTACAGGATGTGTTCAGAATAGGAGGAGGAGTGTTGGGTATGTTTGCTGCCCTGAGTTTTTGTAAAAATAGTAAAGGTGGGATATAAATTATCTATATATAAAATCTGGGACCAGTGGTTCCGAGAGAGTGAAATTTGGAGATGTCATGGCTGCTCCAGTGCTGCTCTGCACCTCTTGAACATTCCCATGCACTGTTCCTACTCCGTGACCCCCCCAAACTGTGCAGCACCTATTAAGCAATGCCATTACCAAAGACCCTCCCCCAAGCAGCATGTCTACATACACCCACACATACATCCCAAGTACCTCTTGCGCACACTCTATACCATTCCCCCCCCACACACCTGCACACTCTTTTGCGCCCTGCTCCACCCCATTCCCTTTTGGCCTTCCACGTTTCTGATGACTTTCTCCCTGCAAGCTTCCCACAAGCACAGTAAATGGAGAGGGGGGCAGGAATTGGAGGGAGGGAGGGAGGGAGGGAGGAAGGAAGGAAGGAAAGGAAGGAAAGGAAGGAAGGAAGGAAGGAAGGAAGATTTCTGATGCTCCTTGTCAGCTTCTCACAAGGAAACTCAATGGGGAAGCTGGGAGGAAGGCAATGGCTGCTTCCACTCCCACTACTTTTTTGCCCACTCACGGTCATTCTGTTTCTCTGTTTAGATACGCAAATATTTCTTGGAAGATGACACATTGGGGCATGGATTGTCTAGTTAACTTCAAATATTTCCAATAATTTTTCTGTTATGGAAAATAACTTCTTAAAAGTGATTTTATAATTAGAATAATAACTCAGTCTGTTTTTTTAAATAATTTGTAAATTTGATAGGATTGATTGTCTTTGCATACTGCTTGGAACTTTCAAGGATTTTTTTTTGTAAATGTTATTTCTGGCAGGCCTTGGTATTCCAAAAATGCACTCCTTGCCTTTCTACACGATGCTTTATCTGGCTTTTTTTTTTTTTTTTTTTACTTTCAGAGTATGCTATGAGCGAGCCTCTTTCAGTCCAACAATACAAACCTTTATCTTATCAGCCATTTGGCATGGGGTATATCCTGGATATTATTTAACTTTTTTAACAGGGGTACTAATGACACTTGCAGCACGAACAGTAAGTATACCTTATATTTCAGTTAAAGTGTAGCTGTGCTCTTTTTTTTGAATTGGATGTTTGAATTCAAAACTTACTTAGTGTTTATTTTTAAAATTTAGATTAGTTGTTTATAAAAACAGTAAGAAGCCTTGCTTTATAATCACTTCCTTTTTAATCATTGAATTGCTTTATGGCATTACAGGTAGTCCTGGGCCTATGACCACAATTGAGCCCAAAGTTTTTATTGAGATATTTATTAAGTGAGTTTTGCCCCATTTTACGACCTTTCTTGCTACAATTGTTAATTGAATCACAATCACAATTGATAAATTAGTAATATAGTTGTTAAGTGAATCTGGCTTCCCTATGGCTTTGCTTGTCAAAAGATTGCAAAAAATCACAACATGATCTTGAGAGTCATAAGTATGAGTCAATTGCCAAGCATCTGAATTTTGATCGCATGATCATAGGGATGTTACAGAAGTCATAAGTGTGAAAAACAGTTCACTTTTTTCAGTACCATTATAACTTTGAATGGTCCCTAAATGAACTGTTGTGAGTTGAAGACTACCTGTATTTGATTATTTACAGATTCAATTTATATGGATGTCACAGATGTAACTTGAGTCTAGACAGTTAATATCAAGTTAAACAAAGATATCAAACAAACTAGCAACACTTTGTGCCTAAAGCTCTCGTTACACATCTATCTGATTAATTCCTTAATAATGAGTTCATGCCTCGAGATAAAAAAAGATCTTTAATATCTTACACATAGATTGGGATTATCTGGATTTAGAAGGATATACAGGGCAGGCATAACAACAAAGAAGAGACTGTTTGCAAATATGATGGTAATAATAAATAAACAATTTCCCAACCAAATTTAGATAAACCTTTTTCTAAGATCTATATAGATATTACTTGTTCTATTAAGATGTTTACTTACTAATTAAATGTATCTCTCTTTAAATTTAGATTAGAAAGAATATTAGAAATTATTTTCTTGATTCTCCAGCCATTAAATTATGTTACGATATCATGACATGGATCACAACTCAAATAGCAATAAGTTACACAGTTGTGCCATTTGTACTTCTCTCTATAAAACCCTCCTACGTATTTTATAGGTAAGCTGATCCTTTATCCTTTTTAAAAAATGCGACTTTAAATGGAAAGGAAGTTATTTAATGTGCTGACAGTTGAGAAAGCAATCCTGTAATCCATTTTTCAGTTTCTAGAAAATGTTATGTGATGTTTGGTGCCTGATTGAGATTTAGGAAATTAGCACAGAATCATAGATTTCCTTTAAATAAAACGAATGCACAAAGAAAATGTTTTGTTCATCATGGTAGCGGAGGACTGTGCAAAAACAGAAAAAACATTAGAGGAATAAGAACTTTCCAAAAGTCTATAAGGAGTTTCCAGTCGGCAGATTCAGTCCTCTCAATCACATATTTTCCAACTGTTCCATTTGTATATTTTAACCACATGATGGTGTTTCTGGCATGAGAAAATGGCCAGGCTTTCTCAGAATGAGAAAATTGACAGAGGAGAAGGATAATAAGCTATTTATTTTCTATAATCTGAGATAGCCAAATAATTTCATATAGTTTTACACACACACACACACACACACACACACACACAGAAAGAGAGAGAGAGAGAGATGCAGAGGCGCTGCATTGTACCGCTGGTTTTCTGACAAGTAAATATCATGTAATGATCAAAACTCTCTATTTCTGTCTCTTTGCTTAGTTCCTGGTATTTCTCCCTCCATATTGCCTGCATTTTAGTGCTGATGTTTCCAGTGAAAAGAACTCAAAAAGGAAATACAGAGCAAGAAAGCATCCAGCCTTCATGGTCCAAACAGCAAGAAGAAGGAAAAGAAAAAAGAATTACAGGACATAATAGTTATTCTGTGGCAAATAGCTTCAATGAAAGAAGAGACATCACATCCAGAAATACAGCAACAAAACAATGATTACAGATGCTATAGATGCTATATTTTATATTTTCAAGACCATTTATAGCACCTTTTAAAAGGGGGTTGTATTTGTCTGAAAAGATGGTTAGTAAGAAAAGAATGCTATATCTCTAGGGAATATACTAGTAAGATGAAAGCAAAGCTAATTAACCACTCCCGTGCCATGTTCCTATGGATCACGCCTTATATGGAAATATTACAATTATTTCAGTGGGCACTCAGGATCAACAGCGTTTGTCATCGGCGTGCCCCCTATGCTGAATGTACATTGTAAATCCCGAGGCACTATGGGGGTGGGAAACCGTTGTCAATCTGGAATGCCAGAAGGAAAAAAATCTTGCATTGCCTTAAACCCTCTATCTACTGAAAAGTAATGTTTCTAAATAGTATTTTCATGTTTAGTATAATATATTTAAAGTATAATTCAAAAGTAAGCTTTGGATTCTGAGGGACATAATGAGAAATGGAAACAGAAAATCCCACTACCTGAAGTGAAAAGAAGAAAGAACAGCAATAAGCACCTCACTATCTGGAGAGTTTTCTTAGTATATCAGGTTTGTCCAGGAGAGAATGGAAAGCATTGTTAATGCTAAACCATAGTTGGTTTCTCTGATTAAAAACAGTGGTTAAAGGAAAGCCCTCTGAAAACTTTTTTTAAAATATGAAAAGTCATCCTTTCTAGAGCCAGATATTTTGAATTTAATTTTGCTCTTTGGATGAGTAATCTTTGCAAGCAACCTTCACAAAATATGCATTAAAGCTGCAACTTTCCAATGACAATTCTCCTTCTATTCCTATAGAACTCACTCACCCGGGGGGGGGGGGGGCGGCACTAGTAAGGATGGATCAGATATAGAATTAATGTGAAAAGGTGCTTAAGATGGCCACTTTATCTTTTTTTTATTATTAAACAAACCTTTAATTATGAATCTATACATAACCTTTATTAACCTTTATTAAATACATACAAAAAGTATTTTTACATATTTTTTTAAAAAGAAGGAAACAGGTGTGTGTGTGGGGCTTCCCTTCCCTTCCATCAAGTCCTCTTTGATTGGGGTGCAGCTGGAGAAGAAACTTCACTTCTGACGTTTCTTCAGGGTGGGCTGGATGTCTCGGGCTCCCCCTGAGGGTCCCGGGGGCGGGAATGAGCTGGGATGCTGCCCTGGGGGCTGCCAAGGCTTCGGCTCTATTTTGTCTTCCAGGACCTGCTTGAGGGCTTCCAGCTCTTTGTAGTGTTCCTGATTCCTCTCCAGCGCCTCTTTCAGCTTTTGGAGCTCTTTGTCCTGGAATCAGAGGTGTTCCAAAAGCTGCTGCTTCCGTTCGGAAGGTTGAGGTTTCCAGCCCTTTTTCAGCTTCCTCCTTTTGCTGGATTTGGCTGAGCAGGTAAAGAATCCTGATCCTCCTGCTCCACCTGGACCAGCTGCCTCTCCAGCTCGGCCTCCGCGTTGGCGGAAGATGGCCACTTTATCTTATGGTTAATAATTCAGTTTATATTAAACAAAGAGTGAAATTGTTAAATTGGTACTGTCTAGTTGAACACCGTAAACTCTGCAACACCAGAGTACCTGTGGTTTAGAAAAAGATTAAAATGGGATGTAACATAAGGGGATCATAATGTAATATTTGATAAAACTTTCCCAACCAATTCTTTTGTTTCATAATTTTACCTTGGAAATATATCAAGGGAATTGATAAATTATTAATTACTTGCCGATGAGAAGTTAACAATTGGTAAAGAAATGATGTGCTAAAGGGCTATAACTTTCATTTGCTTGCTTATGCATCTGTTAGATTTTTTTACTGAATGGAAAAGATGTTATCTTTAAAATACACAGAAAGGGACCCATGGTAAGAAATGAAAAATGGCATTTGGTTATTATTAAAATAAGCTGACTTTTCATTCCTGTTTTGTTTTGAAACATCAATGTTATGTCCAAATATTTAATGAACCCAGAATGAGAGAAATGGCATCTGGCTATTGTCAGGAACCTAGGAAAGAAATGATACAGACATTTCAGTAGAAATGTCAAGCTATTACAAATTTGATCTTCCAATCTTGTCTTTCTTTTTTTAAAACTTTATTAATCTTTATTAAACTTTAAAAAACAACAAGCAAAAAGTAAAAGTATCTTAAATATAAAAATAATTCCAGTTCTAATTCTATTTGTACTTTAGTAATCTCTTGCAACCATTTTTTAATTTTTAGCCAATATTTTTGAGTTTCCGGGCATGACCACCACGTATGATAGAATGTACCTTTTTTCTTCTTGCACTTCCAACATGTCGGATTCATATTAGGATACATCTTTGTCAATCTCGAAGGAGGCAAATACCATCTATAAAACATCTTGTAAGCATTCTCTTTATATGCAGCGGATTTTGTTAACTTATAGTTTTGATTCCACATGCTTTGCCATTCTGTCAAGTTGATGTTATGCCCAATGTTTTGAGCCCAAGCTATCATGCATCCCTTCACAATCTCTTCCTCTAATTCCACCTCCAACAAGTACTTATAATTTTATGTAATTTTTTTTGGTCTGGGCCTAATAAAATTTTATCTAAGTGTTGTGGATTCAAATATATTTCAAAATCCTTAATATCGTTTCTGTACCTACTTTGTAGCTGAAGAAATGCCCACCAGTCAATATGTATCCCTTGCTTTTGGAAGTCTTGCATCAATTTCAAATTTCCTTCTGCATCTAGTACATCTTTATATTTTATCATCTTAGCTAAATCTAGATTGTTTGGGTGAATAATGGCCTCAGTTGTAAAAATTGGTATCTGATAATGACCTTTTTTTAAAATTTTAGCCCAATTTTGTAAAAAGGAGTCCCTAATTAAATGTCTATGAAAATACTGTTGTTTCCTAGTTCCTGTTTCCCACAAAAAGGTGTGCCATCCTCTTTGCAGGTCATGGCCTTCCAGACTTAATATTCTTTTATTGGTTAAATTGATTCAATCTTTCATCCAGATTAGTGCTGCTGCGCTATAATATAGCTCCCAACTTGGTAGTCCAAATCCTCCTCTGCTATTTATATCCTGTAAAGATTTTATCTTTATTCTGGGTTTTTTACCTAACCAGATAAATTTCAGCGTAATTTTATTGAGTTCATTAAAAAAGGATTTATTTAGTCTGATAGGGATCATTTGAAATAAATATAAAAGTTTGGGTAAAATTGACATTTTTATAGTTGCTACTCTTCCCAGTAAAGATAATTGCAATTTAGCCCATAGTTCCAAATCTTTTTTGGTTTGTTGTAATAATTTATCATAATTATTCTCCTTTATTGTTTTACATTGCGTGGTCAGCCATATACCTAAATATTTATTTTTCTTTATTGTTTGTAATCCCATTGCCCTTTATAATTCTATTTTTTGTAATTCTGTTAAATTTTTAGATGAGTTTCATTTTCTGTCTATTAATTTTAAGACCTACCATTTCCCCATATCTTTCTAATTAACTAATTACCTCCTTTCCTGTTTCTATTGGATCTTCAATAAAAAGGACCATATCATCCGCGAAAGCTTTGCAATTTGTATTCTTCTTTCCTAACTTTTGGTCCTTTTATTTCCGGATTTTGCCTAATTCATCTAAGTAAGGTCTCGAGTGATAATATAAAAAGCAGAGGAGAAAGTGGACAACCTTGTCTAACTGCTTATTTCAAAACTCTGGGTAATTTCACCATTCGCTATAATATTTGCCTTCTGATTGGAATATATTGTTATTATGTGCTCAAATTTGGTTCCTAAATTCATATTATAAATTTGTTGTATCATGAATTGCCAATTCAGGTTATCAAATGATTTATGTACATCCAAAAAGACAAGTGATACTTGTTTCTCCGGGTGGACATCATAATATTCTAAAATATCTATTACTATCCTCAAATTATTCCTAATTTGTCTGCCTGGCAGAAATCCATTTTGGTCTGAGTGAATATATTCATTCAATCTATTTGCTATAATGATTGTAAATATTTTATAATCGGCATTTAATAATGATATTGGTCTATAATTTTGGATTAGTCTTGTATCCTGCCCTCCTTCGGGATTAGCGAGATAAGTGCATCCCTCCATATATCCAGTATCTTGGTTTCTATCAAAACCTCGAGCATCAGTGGTTCTAATAAGTCTTCCATTTTATAGAACTCCCCTGGGAGACCCGTCTGGCCCACATGTTTTATTATTTTTCTGATTTCTAATTGCCTAATTTAATTCTACTATCATTATATCTTTAGTTAAATTTTCCTTCAAATCTTCTGCTATCAATACCTCTCTCAAGTATTTCCTTATCTGTTCTTCATCTGCCTCTTCTCTTTTATACAAATTCTCAAGTATTGGTGTACAATCTTTTTCCCAATCTTGTCTTTCAATGACAAATAAGAGTAGGCTATATTTCTTGTTTGGGGTGTTCATTCAGTTTAACTCTTCATTCTAGAGAGAACTACAAACATGTATTTTGTGGGAGGAAACAAATAATTTCCCTAGCAAATGGAGAGCAGGCAATTGAATATTAAAAAGGGCTTTCATGAAAATAAACATTATCATTAGGAGAAATAGGCTTACTGAATCTCCTGATGTAAACATAAACACTCCTTTAGTTTATCGCAGAACATGGTGGAGCAACATGCAAATAGGTTTATCGTGGTTTTATTTGTGCCAAATTACTTCTCCCTCCCCCTCAAATTCAGATATATAATGGAAACTCAAGCTGAATATATGAAGTCTTCTTTATGCAGAAAACTGCACCGTATGAGCATCAGGAAGAAACTATGTTGGGTACATACAATGAAGCTGGATAATATAGCCTTGCTATAATACTTTCTATAATGGCTGAACCTGGCTGCCCAGTTTTTCAGTTAACATTATATTAATGATATCTATGGCTATTCATGGTAAAGAGGAAGATATAAATATATTTTGGTGCATTCTCTGCAATGTTATATCTGTTATCTGTACAAAAAATGTCAACATTAGTAGAGGTAGCTCCTATTTACTGAAGATTAGTTTTCCCTATCTACAGCCTTGCTCAATGCTGTTTCAAGAAAAGCTATTTCTTAGGTACCAGATGAATAGCATCTTCCTCCCTCCCTCCTTGTCTCTCACATACATATTCAGTTTCAGAATTTACAAGGAAACTCATTTTTGGTGTATGAAGAAGCAGCTATTGATTTTACTCCTGGAAATCAGTGTAAACCACTGAAAACTTGAAAAACCTGCTTTGACCACTTTTTACCTGCCCTTATATGTCTAGTTACATTTAATCTTTTGGGAATAAATAAGTTCCACAGGGATAGTGAAGATGAAGGGTCAAGAGTTCTTTTCATTTTCTGGCTTATCTGTTAATAAACAAAAGCAAGTCCTAGCCTGCTCTTGCAAAGCAGCCATCTAAACTCAAGCCCTGCAGTTTCTCCCGCCTATCAATTGACTATAATATTAGTATTTAGATTAATGCAACGTATGCGCTTCATACTTGTATAATGTTTACATTAATAGAATTTGCAACCTATGCTCTATTTAACATTCCCTTATCAGAGTACAGTCTAAATATTTTGCCAAATTCTTTCCTCTGGCACAAACAATTAAACTCACTTATTAACTTAATTATTTATAACTTTGTGCATAGTTACATGGAAGCAGGTAACTGAATATAATCTGATTTACTTCAGACTAAATAGTCAAAATAGACTTATTTTTTCCTCTGTGATAGAAGATGAACGTACTGGTAGTTAAATCTTTCTTACTGTCATAGACCAGCAAAACATAGTTAGACCAAATTTCCTGGAAATATAGTTAGAATATATCCAATCAGTACCGAGGATCTTAATCCAACTAAAGTTGTAACAAGCAAAACTATGGGATGAAATGACACAAACTTATTTTTGTAGGCTTGAAACCAGGGAGTAGAGGACAAAAAACATGGGTTTTTTTTAGTTTTTAAGTTAATTCCAAATAGAGAGTTCTTTGTAAATAAAATGAACTTGATAAACCTCACAGTAAGCTCTCAGCTCCCAAAGAAACTGATAAAATTAATTTTTGTAAGTTTTGACACATTTTAGAAATCTGATACTTCGAAGTTTCTTGAAAGGTACTGGTTATTTTCCCAAAAGATATTTATCTTTCAATATTTATTATTTGAGAACTTAAGTACAGTAATCCTCAACATACAACAGTTTACTTAGTGACTTATCAAAGTTACAACAGCATTGAAAAAAGTGACTTATGACTGTTTTTCACACTTATGAGGGTTGTAGCATCCCGTGATCACATGATCAAAATTTGAATGTTTGGCAACTGGTTCATATTTATGACGGTTGCAGTGTCCGTGAGTCATGTCATTACCTTTTCAACTTTCTGACAAGCCAACTCGATGGGAAAACCAGATTCACTTAACTGGGTTACTAAATTACCAACTACAATGATTCATATAACAGTTGTGACAAGAAAAGTCATAAAATGGAGCAAAACTCAAATGTCTCACATAGCAACATAAATTTTAGGCTCAATTGTGGTTGTAAGTCAAGGACTACATATATTTGAGTTTTTATTCTTGGCCACAAGGGAAATTCCTTTTTTTCCAGACTCATGTTTTGGAAACTTATTATTAGAGCTATGCACTACCGAACATATTATGATGGAATGGAACACCTTTTGATGGTGCATAAGAGGAGCTGTGTCCTTTACAAAGTTCACACAGCTGCTTTGAAAGCTGTCCCCAGTTGTTTCCATGGGGAGGGGTGGACACAGACAGACAGAGAAACAGACGGACAGAGACAAGACACATCCACTGGGACTCCCAAGGAAGCTATGTGGCTGCTTTAGTAGCCTTTGAAGTCATGCTTTGAAGTCAGTAGTTTAAATGCTCAACCTTAACTATAGCATAAAGTGTTTTACATGAACTGGAGGCCAGCCTATGAAAATCCTCTCTTAGTTCCTTGAGGTTCTACCACCAAATT